TCTGTATACTTCCACCTAGAACAAAGTTTGTGGAAAATAACAAACTTATCAATATGTTAATGACATTATCTTCGTAGTATTGAATGGAAATGTAAAAATTAAACTAGAGATCAATTCAATTATCCACTTATGTTTCCAACAGAGTTTCTTCATCAAGGTGATTGTGTTGTTCTCACAGTTTCCTCGACAAAACATTCATTATTATTCGAAACGTTCGTCAGCGGAAAAGTTCTAGCAAAAGCGGGTTCGTGAACCCTATATATTGATTTCACTATTCCTAGAGGCGATGAGGAACGGTCAATAGACTGTCGTCTTTTATGTACAATCAAGCAGTCTAACAATAGCTTTACACCGCGGTCACAGACACTTCTCTATCAGCATGGAACAGGAAAGAAAATCTTGGAACCTTGCAACCAAGACCGAATTTTATACTGTACAGTAGAAACCCGTATCTGTACCTATAGCTATATCAATTAATCGTTTCGTATGCCGTACGTGTTTCTCTGTTTACGCGAACTCAAGGAATTGAAAATTCCCGGATGTAGAACGTGCTCAAAATGAAAGGAAAACGCAAAAGTTTCTGTACAAGATGCATGAAAAGAATCTAACATGTACTTTAAACATGCTTAAACATACTTTCAACTAGTGAGTCAATGCATGATCAGATAATTAACGTCCTCGACAATTGTCTAGCAATGAAATCATCATTTGCACGGGACATGGTATAATCAGATTTGTCGAACGTAGCATTTATTTAAAAAAAAAAAATACGTCCTTTTTTCTCGAGCTTGTTTATATGCATGTGCTCAACAATATAAGCTCCAGTGGCTCTCTGCTGAAGCGTCACGGCGGTTGCAGTCTGCACGGAGGTCAGTAAAAATAACGAGCAGAAATGAATTTTCATCTGTTGGCTAGACAGACGTTGTATGTCCAGATGGAAAGTCGATAAATTGGTGCATTGACTCATTTGTGTATAGCCGTCGGAAGGAAAGGATATCAGTGAAATGGAAGTTTCAACTTGATCGGAAATATACCACTAGAAATTCTACAATTCGCAAAAGTGGAAAGAAAATAAGTATTGCGTTTCTTTATGCACGCGTTACTTTGAACCAGATCCAAATTTCGTTCACTCGCTCTTTCTTTTCCCTCTCTCCGTGTTTCTTCGTTTCCCTCCGTTATTCTTATCTGTTACATTTTATCTGTAAGACACTCGATATCGCAATTGTGGGTTCTTAATGTGATTCTTGCTCTAGTAACTCGCACAACCGCGCTTAATAAAGTCATTTGCTGATTATTGTACCAGACCGCTACATGGATGAACAGGTTTCAAGGTATGTAAATAAATATGTACCAGTATAAATATGATATAATAATCCGAAATATGGGATAGTTAGAAATTAGTGATAATGAGCGGAAAGAAAAGTGGACGCATAAACGGAATCTGTGTGGATTATTATCGAAGTTTGTAAGATAAGCGTTCGGAAGAAAACAAGTTGCACCGATGTTACACCAGTGACTCTAATCGAAGAGAAAGAAGAATCGTTCGGTGAATTATTTGTTGGTTCGTGTTTAAATCTATTTTAATCGTGTTCCTTCGATTAGCAAACGCTTGCAACGCAGAAACTGGAGATGAGGTCTCTGCACCCCGTGGCATCTTGAATATCGCTGAATAAAGAAGGAAGGGTATCGAAAGACCGTTTTGCAGGTAGATTTCAAGCAGTTAGAACCGGGCCTAGGTATGCAATGTACATATGACGGTACGAAAGTGATTGCGTAAACGACATATGAAAGCCGGTGTCGCGAACGGCTGCAGTGGGCGAAGAAGGAAGAAGTGCGAGTTGCTTCTGCAGTTTCGCGTAAGAGATGCTGCTGGCACGACAGGGAAAGTGACGCATGTGGTTGCCGTTGTATTTTTCAGACGATCCCCTGCTGTTTTTTTTTTTCTTCTCGATCCTGTCGCGCATTATCGTACGTTCTCGTCGAAGAGTAAAACTTATCGGACGTGGGTCATCGGAACTGTCGCGCATTTTCTTTTACCTTCAGCGAAAAGCAAGGCGTCATCAGTGACCCAAGCGTTCACAAAATCGGCTCACAGTCAGACTAGTGAAAAAAGAAGAGGCACCGTGTGAGTTCGCGTGTGATCTAGTGCAACTCGTTTGCTCGAATTAACGTTCCACGAACGATGGCGACGCGACGATATAAAATTCTCTGCGACTAAAAGAGGTGGTCCTGTCTTCGTGTGCATACACCGTTTATCCATTTTATCTTCGTTCTCGATAACCTTTCTCTACTGGCCAATAAACAACTTCTCAATAGAGACGTTCATCTAACAAGGTATTGGAAAAATTGCAAGCTTATACTATTTATTTAAAATCTGATTGCTACGAGGCAACGTTTCTTCCTCTATATTTCATTTTTCATTTGGTATTTCCATTGGAAATTATTGCATACTTCCGGAAGTAGCCTGAACACGACCACCCACGCTACCGGTTGCTATTCTGGCTGATATTTGCGAACATCCTATAGCCAAACGGACAGTCGACAGCGGTGCAAAGATTCTTTCTTGGTAATGGTCAGAGAGACGTTATAGCCTGACGGTTTAGTCGCGATCTGAACACGAACGGCAGCAGTTCGTAACTCCCCGTGCTTTTTTCCATCCCGATATCGATCGAACGGCATCCGTGTATCTCTTTCACGGAGGATTTTATATTCGCGTTTCTAGTTGCTCAACTTGCAGAATACCCCGACGTTTAACATTGGTAAGCTTCTTCTTCTTGTTTATCCGCACCCTTTTCTTCGATCGTGTTCTCTTCCTCATCGATACGACGCTGTAATAATTTAATATAGTAAACACATCGCGTAGAACCAGATTAAATGTATATCTGATCAACCTGTTCTCATGTTTACACCATACCAAGCGGTGTTATTGCTACTTTCCAGTTCTATATTTTTCTTCTACAACACTTTTGCGACGTTAATGTAATACTTGTACGAGGAAAATATTGAATGATTATGGAAGAATACACGATAAGTCCATTTATGAAGAACGAACGTGTGGTAATTCAAATGTTTAAATTTGAAATTCTCTCCGTTTTGTAGTTGCAATTACTTTGTAATGGTCGTTGCCTTCGTTTAAGTTCATTACGCTTCCCGTATCGTGGGAAGATTAAACGAATGCTTATTATTAAGCTCGTTAAGGTTTTGCACCAAGTACATAATCAATTTTCTCAATGCTACTTCGTGATCCAAGCTTGTGGGCTTATAAAGAAGAAAAATAACGATCAATTTTCGGTATCTTTGTAGTGACTATAAAATGCTGATTTTCCTTATTAACTTTCGTCTGGCTGGTTATAATAGTCATTTATTGTAATTCGCGGCGAGCAGATGAACGAAGAATACTGATATGATTTTATTTACTTTCTTCAATGCGAAAAGGTATGAAAGAAAGCGAACGATGAGAAGAAGCGTGCATCGCTGCAATTTCTCGGTTGTCCCCGATAAACGTATAACATTTCGCAAATGGTGAAATTGAAAGGCTGAGTTGTTGCGCACAGGTCGTGCTGGTGATTTTACATAATCGCCTTTCTTCATGTCCGATCTCGTCTGCTAATTTAATCGTACACTGATTTTTCGTAACCGTTGAAATTCTTTGTTCAAACAGTCTCAAAATACTTTTGATCTTACATCTTTGAAGTTTGGGACGAAAATGTTACCTTGCAGGGCAGTACTTCAAGAAATCATGGTCAGAGCGTACGGGGGTGTGTTGGTCCTAGCAGATGTGCTGCTTCTTCTCCTCAAGATTCTTTACTACATTGGCGAAGGAATATATAGACTACTAGTACCGGTCGAAGAAAAGAGCGTAGCTGGTGAAATTGTCCTGGTATATACTTCATGATGCTTCCAAATTTCTCACGATTTTTCAAAGAACGCGTAAAGTATTTAGGACAATATAAATGAGTGACAACGAAAAGTATAAAACAGTCATCTGGAAAAATCGAGTAGCATAACAATTACGCAATTAAGCGTAATTCAAATTGTCACGATTTACTGCATCTTTATGCATTTTATTGATTGAACTGTTTTCGAATAATCTATCCTTATTCACTGACAAAGCATTTGAATTTCTGATGCGTTTTTTTTTAACAGGTTACAGGAGCAGGCCATGGAATTGGCAAAGAGTTGGCATTAAAGTATGCCTCTCTGGGAGCTACCGTTGTCTGTTGGGACTTGAATCAACAGGGAAACGAAGAAACCGTAAATGAAATTAAACAGATAAGCGCAACAACTAAAGCATATGGTTACAAGTACGTAGAGACTCGCTATCTTACTTAATTATTATTCAAGATCATTCCACAAATTTAGCACGTTTTTTCTTTTAGATGCGACGTATCGAAGAGGGAAGAAGTGTTTAAAGTAGCTGAGAAAGTCAGGGTGGAAGTCGGGAACGTAACGATCCTAATTAACAATGCTGGCATAATGCCCTGTCGAGCTTTTCTGGATCACACACCGGAGGATATTAAACGAATATTCGACATCAACGTACTGGCACACTGTTGGGTATGGTTCTTCAAAAAATGTATCGAGTCGATCAATTTATTTTCCTTGCATTTCATTCTTCGACTAAGCAACGTTCGTTTTCGTTTTAGACTGTCCAAGCATTCTTGCCTAGCATGATTCAGAAAAATTACGGTCACATCGTCGCTCTTTCGTCGATGGCTGGATTTCTCGGCGTAGCCAATGTGGCTCCCTATTGCGCTTCAAAGTTCGCAGTAAGAGGTAAATATGTTTTTATTATTTTTCAATTAAATTTACATTCCTATTTTTTCCTCGTTTTATTTTCTTTCTTGTTGCAGGATTAATGGAGGCTTTGAATGAGGAGATTAGATCATTGAACAAGGAAAAAACTTTAAATATCAACTTCACTACAATTTATCCGTATATGGTAGACACAGGACTGTGCAAAAAGCCGAGAATCAGGTAAAAACTAATTATATTGTAATTAGGAGAATTACGTATGCAAAAATCTTTTGCATTTAATAATCACTGTATAATGTCTTCATTACTTTTTTCATCTATATTTACATGCAGACTCGATTGGATTAGAGGTAGGAACTGTAACGAAGTGAATATAACTTACGGACTAAAGACTGTGAACGTATAATAGAATGATATTTAAAAGTAAGAAACAATTAAGACGATAATTTCTGTTTTAATCAGGTTCCCAAGCATCATGGCGCTGGTTTCACCGAAAGAGGCAGTTGTTGAAATAGTTAAAGCGCAACGAAGAAACATCAGAGAATTATCCATTCCCGCATGTTGGCTCTACATTAACATTCTTTTAAGGTATGCAACGCAATAGCATAGATCTTTGATGGTTCGATGACATTTCTATGTGATTTCAGATGTGCCCCTGAGTCGTGCATGCGCAGCATAGTAGACTTCCTAGACTCTGGCCTAGAGACAGAAAGTTAATGAGTATCTAATATTCTTGTGAAAAGATATTTAAGAAAATATGTTTGTTTTACGATTCACAATGATACATACGTAAAACCATAAACGGAAAAGAATTTTTTCTTTTTTCTGTTCATATGTCTGTAATGTTAATGGTACATATAATTATTTCTAATAAACTTGTAGATAATTTTAGAATACGCGAGAAAAATTCTTAACGTACTTGTTATTTCTTCGTCATCATCAGTTTCAGGTATAGTTTTATCTGTGTGCTGTTATACTTAAGGATTTATATTTAAGGCTAATAACTGCTTGTGTAATAAGTAAAGTGCAAATGAGAAGATATTTCTCAATGTCCATGTAAATTTGTATTAGCATGTTCTTTTACTGATAACTGATAATAAATAAATGTTCAAATATATTTGTATAATTGTATAGATATAAAATCTAAATTTATTTAAATTAGCAAATATATTGATAGCATGATAACTCTGTACCTAAGAGCCACACTAACCCAAGTTCAGACTAATCCAAACAATTAAATCTTTTTTGTTTATTGTGTAACGTAAATAGCTCCCTGTGGCTCTAATAAAGTAAGGAATGAGCAGTAAAATGTTATACATAACCTAATTTTGAAAAAATGCAGTTGGCTTAGAGGCTGGCTCTAAGCTACTCTCAGAATTACTATCGATATCTAATTAAACATAATATTATAAATTTGATTTCCTAAAAATCTTTGGAATTGTTTTCAATCACTTTGTTTAATTCCGAAATAGTCTATATTCCGAAATATTTTAACATAATCTAATGCAAGATTTTCATTAACTTTTTAGTGCATTCTTAAAAATTTCACCCAACTTATTATACCCTGTTAAACCAACTTTAGCACCAGCTACTTGGCAGCCAAAAGTCATAGCTTCCTGCAGCACAGTTTGAGTAATAAATTCTGCATGACTACATTCTAAGCTTTCAATATTATAATTCTTTTTAATATTATGTTTAAATTCTACATTTTTCTGTAAGGTACTATTCATTTCATTATTTCCTAACTTCCTTGACTTAACAAATTCCAATTTTGCTTCATTTAAAAAATGCAATACTGCAGCATTGAAAGTATCCCCAGCTCCTAACGTATCCACAACCTTTTGTGGCGGAAATGCAGGAGATTGTACTGTAATATTATCTGGAGTTCGTGCCATAGCACCTCTGTCAGCCCAAGCACATATAAGGGTTGCCCTAGAAGAAAATTCATTTAATAACATGAATTTCTAAATATAAATTAAATATTCTGTTTTTATATAAATTCATACCCAGATTTGGCATCTTCGCTAATATTTTTTAATGTTTCACTCATATTATCATATCCTCTACTTTGAGCAAAATCCTTAGATATAAATGCTACATCTACATAGGGTAGTAAATCCAACAATTCCTGTTTTGGTCGTTCTAATTCTACACTAATAGTAATTGGCACTTCACTTATGTCCATTTCTTTGCTATCAGTATCTTGATTATGATGTAACATACTGTTAAAATTTTCTACGCATTGCATCATAGATAATACTTCAGACAAATTTCTGCCTTCAAAATGAATCCAGCTATAATTTCCTAGATGTAACTGTTCAAAATTCTTCAATGTTAATTCTGGTAGATTTGGGTTATGATGTAAAATGGTACGAGAACCAGAACTTAGACTTAAGATAACAGTAGAAGTTGGACACCCAATGTTTTCTACCATAGGACAATGGGAAAAATCAATATTGTTCTTTTGCATATCATTTCGCAAGAAATTTAAATGTTCTTCTGCACTTAAAGTTCCAAAAAATTCACATGAACTTCCTAATTGGGAAAGAACTGTGCAAGTGTTAGATGCATTGCCTCCTCTTTGCCATCTGTATTCTACAGATCTGTAAATGACATGGCAACAATAAATCAAATGAGGATAATCGAATTACGTGACGAATTCTACGTCAAAATTTTTGCAGACATTAAATATACAAATTTATTTATAATAAAAATGGAACTAGGCCCTTAAATTTAGTTCATTTAAATTTTAGTTCGAAACTGGATTATAAGAATAGTGTTTACATTTACATTAATATCAGCTGATCAGCATCAACACTGAACAACAATAAAACTGCGCAATCGCGTATAGAAATATCTCTCACCTCTGATCAGAATCTTCCGCAGGGTATTGCTTGCATGTCTGTACAATATCTAAACAAGTTAATCCAACGCAAAGAATTTTTTGTTGGTTCGACTCCGCTATAGAAGACGTACCAAGAATTTTTTCGTAAAAACTTGAAATCATGTCACTTAATAATACGAGCGCACAACTTACATTACGTTTCTCTCACTCAATGGATAACAGAACTCTGATCGATTAATATACATACAAAATAAAGTTTTCTGATTTTTGATAACAATTTATATGTTTTCGTTTAATCAAATAATTTTTACTTTATTATCTGTGGGATTAAAGTGATAAAAATATATATACATTGATCAAATCTACTTGACCTTTGACACTTTGGGCATGCACATATACTGATAACTTTTAAACCTGTTTATTTTTGCGTCAAAAATGATAGTGAAGAAATTTACCTACGATAGAACAAATTAATTTATGAGTATATAAACTGTATTCCTTCCTTTAAAATTTCGTTTAATAACCTAATGTATAACCTAAACGATTAAAGTTTGTCCATTCTTTTATTTACACATACACATAATTTACAATCAAATGGAATGATTGTATTGCAATATAGATTTTTGTGTCGTTGATTACGCTCGTAAAGTGACATTTTTAAAAATGTAGATTGATAAATTAGTTCTCTGTTTATATTGAAGAATCATATAAAAACAATATAGTATTAATTTTAGTGAAAGAATCATTGAAAAATGCAAAAAAACCTTAAAATTCCCGCTTCATCAATATCAGACGATTATAGCGCCTAGCGGGTAGCGAAAAATGTCAAGATGGCAACGCAATGGATTTCGTTGTAAATTGAGACAACTTTTATCGTTTATTAATTAAAATTTTAAACACGATATTCCATTAAATTATTATATCAGAAAATATACATTTTTCGTTAAATTATTAGAAGGATTATTCATTTTTCAAAGTAGGCTAAAACTATGCGAGATGTACGCGTATAAATAACTAGCATATCGAAACTTCTGCATATAATTGTCCAATAATTTCTTTTTAAATAATCTTTATTTACGTTTTATTTTACATCGTTAATTATTAGATACAATGGATCCTCGAATACATAGAAGAACAGAGCCGGAAAAAGGACCGGGCGATTTGGTCAGTGTCATAACGTAAAAGATTATCATTTCCCAGACATATTTTATGAATACAAAAAATCATTTGTAACGTATAGGGATACGAGTACATAATTATAACGATTATTAAATGAACATTTATTTTAAATCCAGGAGAAGATATCAAAGTTGCAAATATATGTAAAGTCCAAGAAATCCTAATAAACAAGGAGCCCCAATTGCTTCCATTATATTTGGATGAAGCATTACAGTTCTCCTTAGATAGAAATGCAGAAGTTAGAAAAACAGTTACAGGTTTCATAGAAGAAGCTGGGTAATGATTATTATTTGAACCTATGATATTATGTACTGCTATAATTCTTTTATTAAGTATATACCAATTATATTTTATTTACAGAGTAAAACAACCACAAGTAATTCCACGTGTAGTTCAAGTACTTTTAAGATTAGTTTCTGATGAATCATCAGCTGTTGCTAAAAGAGCTCTCAGAGCCAGTGGTAGAATATTAAGAGCTGCATTAAAATGGATATCTAGTGCCATCACAGTTACACCAGAAATGGAAGTAGCGTGGAACCAACTTAGTACCCTTAAAATTCAAATCATAAATATGATCGATAGTGATAATGATGGGTAAGACTATTTTTCAAATTTTATTCTTATATGTTTTAACTCGGTTTAAATTTCAAATTTTTTTGCACATAGAATTAGGACACAAGCTGTGAAATTTCTTGAAGGTGTTGTTTTGATACAAACATACCCAGATCCTGATACTCCAAAAAAATTAGATGATTTTTCTCTAGAAGATATTCCATTAACATTAAAAATAGCTCGTAGGCGAAAATTGGAGGAAGAAGCTAATGATGTAATGGATTTATTGATTAAATTTCATGGATCTCCGCATGTTAGTAGTGTCAATTTGATGACGTGTATGGGATCTCTGGCTTTGGTTGCTAAAACAAGACCTCAATTTATGCCAGGTGTAATACAAGGTAAAACAAACTCTTAGAAATGTAATTTAAATATATCAAATTTATAACTAAAGGTATAAATTTGCAGCTTTGCAAAGGCTACAACATGATTTACCACCCACACTATCCGATTCTCAAGTAACTAGTGTGCAGAAGCAATTGAAATTAACTTTATTAGGACTAATGAAGCACCCAGCCAGTATAGAATTTGCATCTACAATAGCTAAACAATTAACACAGCTGGGGGCAAAAGAACAGGAAATTCTTAAAGCTTATCCAAAACCGGAAGATATTCGGCGTATGAAAAAGCGTCAACAAGTATGTGTGCAATTAATTTTTGTTGCAAATATTGATAATAACTTCAATATCAGAAATTTATATAATTTTCAGGAAGCAGCTGCTTCTTCTGCCGCTAAACGTGTTAAAATCGAAACACCTTTAATCTCGGATGAACCGGAAATTGTACCTAGTCTAGTACCTCCCACAAAATTACCAGAATTGATTGAGCTTTCAGAAAGTTTTATCGCTGAAAGATTAAGCGTGGAAATTGCTACAGATTTAGTAATGGATAGCATGGTGAGTAAATTTTTATCTAAAGACCACAGGCGTTAGTATTACCTCCATTTTCTTCTTACTAAATACCATTATATTTAACAGGCATGGGTCCCGGATACAATGACAATGATTTTTCAAAGAGAATACCAGCCTACTTCGACGACTGATATAAACATTCAGCGGCAAACAATTGCTAAATTGCTAGCGACACAAATAAAACAAGCTAAAACGAAAAAGAAAAAGGAAGCTAAAGATGAAGATGCCGTGATGGAAGATTTAGTGAAAAATCCAACCATTAGTGTAGCGGAAGCAAAACGGGAACGAAAACGTGAAAAAGATAGGGAAAAAGAAAAAGAAGCAAAAGCATCATTGGAAGCTCATGAAAAATCGCTCGTAAAAGCACGAACGCGTTTAAAAGCTTTAAAGTTGTCTGAAGTTACGAAACCATTGTCAAAGGAAGTGAAAGAAAAGATGTTACTGATGGCTGTTAACCGAATTTTGCTTTCTGAGAAGACAGCTGTGTTTGGTGGCGTAGCAGCCATAAGGTAGATCAATTTATGAACTTCTTATTTATGTAAAAATATTAATCTAAATGGCAAAAATGATCTTCCTGTTATTTCTTTTTAGATCAAAAATTTTAACTACTCTAGCTGCAACATTTAATCCATATATTAAAGAAGCAGTACTACGTTATATCACTGATGATATGAGAAATCGTTTGGACTTAGCTTTAGGCTGGTTATATGAAGAATATGCATTACTTCAGGGTTTCCAAAGACGAACAACACTATGTGCAAAACCCCAAGAAGCTCCGCATCAGGCTTACAACTTTTTATTGTGTACATTAGTATCTGCAATAGATTTGGTTCAAGGCAAAGATCGTGACACATTGTTATACAGGTAATATATAGTTTTGATGAAAAGTTCAATCATAGAATAAGTAACATTAATTGTATATGCATTTTAAAAAGGTTATACTTGGAAGCTCCTTTAATCACAGAAGATGCTGTTGAGGCTTTGAAAATGGTATCCTCTGACGAAACAAGAGGATTGGCACCGTTGCAATTGTTAAAAGAAATGGTTATTCGTAGACCGACCAAACAACTGGTTTTCTTAAATGTATTGTTATGTCATACTGGTCATGAGAATAATACGGTAAGTTGTAAAACGCGTGTACCATCTACAGGTTTGAAGTACGCAAAGTGCATTGATCATTTTGCTTTTCTGTTTATGAGTAGATAAGAGAAGCTGCTATACAATTAGTTTGCCAGCTATATAGTCGACCTGAGTTAAGTAAACTTATAGAAGAGTACGCAGTTCTCTATTTAGGTTTCTTACGACTTCATACTCCACCCGAGATCGTCTTCGGGCAAGATCGTGGTAGGCCACAAGTAGAAACCCAGTGGAGTGAATCAACTACTAGAGCTTGCCTTGGATTGTATCTTGCTTTGTTGAGTGAGCACCAAGATTTGATCCATGAGTGAGTCGTCCTTTTAATGAATGTGTTTTGCTAAATATAAATTTCTACGAACGCTGTCTCCTTCCAGATTAGCAAGAGTTTATACATCAATGAGTGCAGATGTAAAACGCATGGTTCTTAGATTAGTAGAAGGACCTGTTAGATCTTTAGGAATGGGTAGTCCACAATTATTAGCACTAGTTGAAAATTGTCCTAAAGGTGCTGAAACGCTGGTTACAAGAATTATTCATATTCTTACAGAAAAATGTACGTAAATTTATAATTCGGCGCTTTATTTTTTCCTTAATGTATGTTCGATATTTAATACATTATTTTACTTTCAGCTGCACCAAGCGCAGAGTTAGTAGCACGGGTACGGGAACTTTATCAAACCAGAGTTTCAGACGTTCGATTTTTAATACCAGTCTTAAATGGTTTAACGAAAAAAGAAGTTATAGCCGCCCTTCCGAAACTTATAAAATTAAACCCTATTGTTGTTAAAGAGGTAAATACATTTTTATCAATAAACTAAATTTATGGTATATATGTTGTATATTATGTGTGTGTGCGTGCGTGCGTGCGTCACATTTTCATAGTGTTCTTTCTACAGGTATTCAATAGATTATTAGGAACTCACAATAATGAAAGCGGTGTACCTCATACGTCCCCTATAACACCAGCTGAACTGCTAATTGCCTTGCATAATGTAGATCCAAGTAAAGCAGAATTAAAAACAATTATAAAAGGTGTGATATATTAATTTATAAAATAGCCTTATAACTTGTTTCAGAATAATTCTTTGATATTCTTTTTCAATAATATTGATTTGTAGCTACGTCTCTATGTTTTGCTGAAAAACAAATATATACGCAAGAAACTGTAGCTGTTGTAATGCAACATCTTATGGAAATGACGCCGCTTCCTACGTTGCTCATGCGTACAGTAATACAAAGTTTAGCATTATATCCAAGGTTAAGTGGATTCGTTATGAATATACTTCAACGATTAATTCTCAAGCAAGTTTGGAAGCAGCCAAAAGTTTGGGAAGGTTTTGTAAAATGTTGCGAGCGCACACAACCGCAAAGTTTTGCGGTTATTTTGCAACTTCCTCCAGCGCAACTAGCTGAAGCGTTAAAAATGGCTGGCAATTTACGAGCACCTTTACTAGCACACGTTGAAGCTTTTGCCGAAAATCAGGTACTTTTAGCAATATATTTCATTGATTCTATTTCATTCTATCAATAACAAGGGAGATTTAATTAATTTGAAAACGGCATGGTATTTCAGAAAGCGCACATTCCACAGTCAATAATGGATGTTATTCAGGGTAAATCACCTTGCGACATGCATGATGAATTTGATATTGTGAGTAAAAATGCTTGTATATAAAAAGTTGATTTTTATATTATCATAAAAAAATAAATATATGAACTGATCCAAATAGTTTTTCCTCAAATTTCTTGCAGGCACCACCCGGTGATTATCCGATTGAACAAAAACCAGATATATTGGAAACTGATGTTTCAGAACCAGCTCCTCCTGGTTTAGATTAGCATAAACTCATTCCAGTGTTGGGATCTCAATCATCATCCACAGATTGTCCCAACTTTAATGAATTCACCTTATAAATGATAAATTATTTTTTGTCCATGTTCAGTAATATCTTAAGTATACAGTAATCTGAAACGTTAGATCCACATATTTATCATATCACGCAAAATGTAAATATTTTTCACTTGGAATTTATTGAAAATCCAGTTGATTTTATAACTGTGACAAGACTCTTTACAGTTCTGTTTTGTAAATAGAACTTCGCTTGCATATAAATGTATGTACATACGTTATTTTCATTACGTAGCATATTTTCGATTAACATCGATAAATGTATCTTCGATTTTATGCGATACACGATGAATGTTTTACCAACATTTCTCTCTGCATAAAAAATCAAACGAGACTATCGATAATAGTTGAAAATTCAATTTATTCACTTACATTTGATTGTTTTTATAAAATATACAAATTGTCAAACGATAAGAAGTTCAAAAAGTGACATATAATTAAAACTTTGTGTATATACTATTTACAATATCAGAAATTGAACTTAAAATGTAGTTTGCTATATATTCATATATTTTGCTACATTAAATCGTCATAATACTGACGCCATGTGTATTAGCTATTTTTGCAAAATGAACAATACTTGCGTAATAATACATCTTATTCATTTATATCACGTAAGTATAAAATTCGCTTTAATTACTATTTTATATTGAAACTATAGTCCTACCGCAATATACAAGGTGTCCCAGGTTTTAATAGCCAAATGTTGTCAGTATATTCTATGGGTCGAAATAAAAAGAAAATGTTAGACAAACATAGGTCTTTTAGAGCTTCATTAAAAAGTTATGGCGGTAATACGAAATGAAGGAAACAATAACAGACTCACGGTTACTGCAATGTAATACAGAAATAGATAATCAATATTTGCGCGATATTTAAAAGATCGCGTAATGAATTGATACAAAAAATCAACGATGCATTTACTGAAATGAAACAAAATAATAACGAAATTCGCAGAGTAATAAATTCTTTTATCTGATGTTTTCTAATGTCAATCTTGCATTGCCATAAACAGTGGAAATTTTTTAGATGGAGTATTAGTTGCTTCTTGCATAAACAGAGTAAACGTAAATATTGCTGATCTACTTCTGTATTACATCGCAATAACCGCGAGTCTGCTATTGTTCCCTTCATTTCGTAATATTGCCATAACTTCTTAACGAAGCTCTAAAAGACTTACGTTTGTATAACACTTTTTTTTTATTTCGACCCATAGAATATACTGACAACGTTTGGCTACTAAAACCTGGGACACCCTGTATAACATTTCATACGTAGCGCATGTGTCGATTTTTCATAATTCGTAATTAATCATTTTGTAGATTATTCACAATTGCATAAAATATGCATGCTACAACGTGTAAGAATCTAATGCATATATATAAGATTTGATATGAAAAACATGAAATAACAGTTGATCTTTATTGAAAGATATTTTGAAGATCTAGTTATATACAAAAATGTATGTTGATATATACATTGAAGTTCTCTTGTACAGCATTGTAAAAATATATTAATAATTTTCTTATGCAGTTCTTCGCAATGTACATTACAACTGTGTAATAAAGATAAATTCTTGTATTTGATTAAAAAAGCTAGATATCATCCAAAATCAACTCCAGTGTCTAGTAAATCACGCAACATAAACGACGCTTTTTTCGGAAGTATTCTACAATTATAAAATATTAATTTTTAGATATAATTGTTTTCTTATTTATCACTTAATAATAATATCCAGTTTACCTAAGAACATGTCCTAGGTAGAGTAAATATCCAGGTACACTGAATTCCGCATAATTTCGACGGACACCATCTAAGATTTGTTTAGCTGCTTCTGCAGCAGGCATTGTGCCAAAGTAACTCGGTATTCTGCATGAAATATAGAAAATCAGTTACCGATGAAGTATCGGTATTATCGTTTATCATTATTAACTTACCTAAAACGAATGTCTCTCGCTACTTCAGCGCCTACAATAAACGGATAAACGTGAACTAAAGTAATTATAATATTACTGTTAGTGTGTCTTAATTCAGTATGTAATGATTCAGCTAATCCTTGAACTGCAAATTGTGCAGTGGATAAAGGAACTCTGCTTCCTCCTGTGGCTGTACCTGAAAGGCCAGCCACAGATGATAAAACTACTATGTGTCCTTTGCCAGCACGTTCCATGCATGGCAAAACAGTATCCAACAACTAAGTACAAAACTTTATGTTAAAACTGATGAGTACTGCAATAAACTATACATCATACAACAAGTACCTACCCAGAAGTGACTAATAACTGTCAAATCAATTGTATGTCTTATTTCTGGTGGGTTTTGAAGTAATGCTCTAGGGCTAGGTATACTGCAGCAGTGGAAGAGCATTGTAACTTCACCTAATTCGAGCTTAATACTATTCACTGTATGAGCTACCTGTTATATTTTATAACAGATATATATTTTATAATGTACTTTTCATACTATATAAACATATCTTACAAATTATACTCACTTTATCTTTATCTGTTATATTGCAAATATACATTTTAGCTACTCCCTTCGATTTAGGTGCCAGCTGAACAGTAGCATTACAATTTTGAACATTAATATCTACACAAGCAACATTAACACCTAATTGACACAAATGAATTGCTAATTCTCTACCTATTCCACGTCCAGCACCAACAACCTAAAATGAAATGGTAATGTGTCAGATCTATCAAATTCTTCTTAAACAAAGGCTGGGTGAATTTATTACCATTGCAACTTCTCCACGAAGGTATTTCAAAGGAGGAGGTCTAAATATTCTGTATAATGCAATTACAATAGCAAAAAATATCCCAATTAAAAGTGTCACAAGATCTAATATTAGAATAAAAAGAGAATATAGTCTTAGTAGCATCTTTGGTGGTTTAAAATTTCTTCTTAAGCTCTCCTAAAATATAAACTTACTATTACTCTTAAATTATTAAATTAATTTGCAACATTTGTAAAAATAATATTTCGTCATAATGTCAGAATATTAAAATAATAATCTTTCAAACACTATACATTTAAAATAATAATTTTAACCACCATTACCTATCTTTTTTTTAATCAAACAGAAATGCTTACTGCGACACTTACCATTTCTGTGGTCAAACTAATCAGATATAGTCGTAAACACGATCGAAGGACAATTTTAATTGATTAAGCGCGTGAAAGAAAGCTTATTAAATCTAAAGATATATACTTTGTATCAAATTACGTCGTGAACTCTGTGATAACATATCATGACGTTACGTGGAAAGAGAGAGGGGAAACTGTTCAAAATTTACTTTAAACAAGTTCATATTTGTATTAAAAAGTGTTAATATAAATTTCATGATAAGTTTAAAAAAATACAAATTGTTAAACTTTGTAATACATACCACGTGCTTAAGTATACGTTTCAAAACTTTCGGCCGCCGTTGATCTTGTTGGTTTTTGTATAGTAATTTAAATAAAACGATACAGACTTTCACCACCTATTGTTAATTGAGGATAACATTAATCATTGATAAGAATAATAATAATGTAAGAAAATAATAAAAGATTTTTAACGTTTAACCTTTTAATTCCCTTAAATAGACATGCTTATTCGCACTTTATTTTGACTGTATAAAGGATACACTGTGACAATGAGCGTTTCCTTTATAATACACGTGTCACCTTCATTTAACAGAACTACTGGTAGATCCTGTAATGGTCTGCTGTAGTTGTAAGTAAATAAACATTAAAACATAAAAAAATTTTTACTATTTAGTAACTGAATACATCAACACAATATAATAAATTATACCACTATAAATTTTGTGCGATTAGCATAAATATGTTAATGTTACCAATTATTCAGTCTGATCTTAAATGAATATTGAAAATTATATTCATTTTATGCTTTTTTCATATTCGTAACTGGATAATCGATCTACAGGGTGTCCCGTAAAGAGTGCAACACCCGGAAATGGGGGGTTGCTGGGGTGACACTGACCACATTTTTCCTTGACCAACATGTTGTTTGAAGCTTCGTTTTTGAATTATTAACGAAAAACACTGGCCAATCACAGCGCGCGTAGAGCCCGCGCTCAGGGACGAATGAAGAGAGATTCACCTGCACCCTATCGCGAACGATGCGTACGCGTGACTTCTCGGTATCGAGCGCTGTCCAAAAAATTTGACTTTGCACCGTTATTTTTATAAGGCTTAGAGAAATGGTTTTTTGTTGTCATTCCGACGTTTGTATAAATTTTCGAAAAAACTGTTATTAGTCGGAATCGTAAAGAAAATAGCGAAGGTCGTTTTTACAATTTTTTTATCTGAGCTCGTAATGAAAATCTAAAAAATACGTTTTGTAGATCTATGTCAATTATACACACGCTGAAAATTTCATCGAAATCGGTGTACGGAGAAACAAGCGACAGGCATCGAAAGATGTAAGAATCTGCAGATTTATTACAGTTTTACGCCGAAAGTTATGATAGTGCGATTTTTGCAATCTTTGACCGTTTGTAACTCATAGCAACATTAATATTAATCATAGCAACAAAACATTAAGATAAAAAAAGTTGTAAAAACGACCTTCGCCATTTTCTTCGCGATTCCGACTAATTACAGTTTTTTCGAAAATTTATACAAACGTCGGAATGACAACAAAAAACCATTTCTCTAAGCCTTATAAAAATAGCGGTGCAAAGTCAAATTTTTTTGACAGCGTTTGATAACCGAGAAGTCACGCGTACGCGTTGTTCGCGATAGCGTGCGGGTGAATCTCTCTTCGTTCGTCCCTGAGCGCGGGCTCTACGCGCACTGTGATTGGCCAGTGTTTTTCGTTAATAATTCAAAAAGGAAGCTTCAAACAACATTTTGGTCAAGGAAAAATGTGGTCAGTGTCACCCCAGCAACCCCCCATTTCCGGGTGTTATACTTTTTACGAGACACCCTGTATATGTGTACAATATGACGCATTGATACATCCTGACAAAATGCGCCTTGAACATATTTGAAGTATTTTAAAGGTAGAGTTAAAAGAATAATATAAAATTGTCAAATACGTATTTTTAATTCTGATCTTTCAGGATATTGATTAT